GTTACTTTAATAAGACTTTATTATGATGAGATGATCTTCAAAAATTAGCCAATCATGATAAAGCCCGCTATGCTATATATAGTTGTTTTTTAAGTTTCGATAATTTATTTTTTAATTGAAATAATTGCGGGTGGCATCGCCTATGTTTTTGACAAGACATTTTAGCGAACTTAATATAATTTTAATAAACTTTATACATAATAAAATAACTTGCGATCATTTACTATTAGAAAATTTTTATTATTCATTTAACACTTTATAAAAATTTTATCATTTATTTTATTATTCATTTTTAACACTTACATTACGTACAAATTTATACAATTTAAACATTTAATAAAATTTCGAAATTAATAAATCTAAAATTATTTAAAATTACACGAATTGTTTGGGATACTTAGTTTCGGCTAAAAAAATTTTTTTAGCTTACTTGTCCCAGTCACCGCATAGAGGTGTATCCCATAACTGGGTTTATAACAACCGGAGTTGTATCCAATAATGGACGTACGCGTGAATGAATAATAAATACTCATTCAGGAAAAACTCATACCTAGAGTTCGGCATGACGAGGGGGATAAAATAAAAACTAAAAAAAATACATGTCGACGTTAACTATAGGCAGTACAGAAAATATTATACAAAAACCTGGAAAGTTTTGAGAAAAGAAAAAAAAAACTATTCTAAAAAAATAAGTCGTTCCAGCCTTGGGAGCGCGATAAAACTCCGATTTCTCTTCGTCTTACCATTCCGGTTCTACTGGCCGGTCGTAACCTAAGCACAGCCACCATATTACTCCCGCAGCCAAAACCCTACAAAAGAAGAGCAAAACTTTCCATGTTTCTGTGGGTTAGTAATACTTTCTGTTACCAACTATAGATAACGGAAAAATACATGATATAATTAAAAAAACGACGATGGTGGAAAAAAAAAATCCTTATCGCTATAAATATATATTAGATCTACTGATCAACGCGTGTGAAAATCAAGATCGGCATTATAGTATACTTTTTTTGATCAAAAAAAAACTTTAAGAGGTGATTCGCCGTTAAAGGTTATGAGCATCATATAAGCATCATACGTAAAAATCGGCGGGCATTACATATAGAATTTTAATAGTAGTAGGAAACTTCTTTTTCTACTAAGTAAGTCTCTCTTTGACTTCTAATTAAAGTTGTAGAGGAAGTTCATTCGGTTCTAATGGTAGTAAGATCGCTAAATTTGGTCTGGTGAATCACAAGATATCAACGATTTATGTTTCGCGATCATATAAATTTTTCTTTGCAGATCTGCAAAGCAATTTCATATGATCGCGAAACGCAAATCGTTGATATCTCATTATTCACCGGACCGAATTTAGCGATCTTACTACCATTAGAACCGCACGAACTTCCTCTACAACTTTAATTAGAAGTTAAAGAGAAACTTACTTAGTAAAAAAAGAAGGTTACATAGTACTCTTTGTGAAAATTGTTGGCTATTAAAATTCTATAAGTGATTCCGCCGATTTTTACATAGATAATGTGAGGTTTAAACAAATATGCGAAAGGATTAGAATATAAAAAAAAAGATAGTTTTTATGATGATTTTAAAGTCCTAAAATCATCATGATAAACCCGAAAACACCTAAAGGAACCTATAACACCTTACGAGAACTCTTTAGCATGTCTGCTATTGTCTTATGTCACTTTTATGTTAATATATGCACTATGCTAGATTAAAGTATTTAAGTAAATAAGTTTGTAAAATTAAGTTAAATAAGTTTAGGCAATAATCTGAATAAACAGGATATATCTTCGCATTCAATTTTTATCTGCGATTTTTTACGTATATTACGTTACAAATAAACTTAACTGTTTATTTTTTATAGCATTTTTCACAAATATCTCTCTCTACTTCAAATCTTTTGTTGAATTCTTTATTACAATATGTACAAATAAAGTACTTAGTACCCGCAAAAAGAAATCTAAGAAAAGCTCAAACAAAAAAGAAAAGAAAGCTAGAACGGGTTTGGGTCATAATCCCGACAAGCGAAATCCCGACAGGTCATAATCCCGACAAAAAAATCCCGACAGCAAAAATCCCGACATCCTGACAATTAAAAATTTGATAAAAAAAATATAGCTAACCCGAGCCTAACCCTCATCTAAAGTGACCTAACCCTAAAGTTAATTAAATTATAAGAGTCTACTTCACTTTAAACATACCTCATATTTGGGATTTCTACCCGATTGTCAGGATTTTTAATTGTCGGGATTTTTGACTGTCGGGATTTTTTTGTCGGGATTATGACCTGTCGGGATCGTGCTTGTCGGGATTTTGACCGTCACCCGTCAGGAAATAGCTACCCCAGTGAGACCGTGAAAGATCGTCGCAGATGCACCAATCAGATCTTTTCTAACAATTGCCTCTCTATGAAACCACCTACTGCGCACTAACAAAAAAAATTCTCCGTAAAATTTTAGCATAAGATAAGCCATAATTTCAGTCACAACCCCAACCCTAACGTAGGTTTTTATTACTTTAAAAATTCGATTGTTTAATTAGTGCAGATCATCTGATTGGTGCATATTGTCGATCTTTCACGGTCTCACTGGCAGGAAATAGATATAGTCGACAGTAATATCAATTTCCCGACAATAGCTATTTCCCGATAGTATCACTTCCCGGGAAAGAAATAAGTCGGCCAAAAATTTTATTATAAAAATTTACTAATTCTAAATTTAGCTATATACAAGGTTATAATTTCTAATACTTTAGATTTATTTTTTTAAAAAATATAATATGAATAATTATAAAACAATAGATTTAAAACTAATATTTAAGAAATTTTTTCTAAATATTGATATTAAAGATCGTACCTATCCTGCCATTCTTGACAGTGGATATGTCTTTCGATACAATCTCGATGAAAAAAATGTTTGCAATATAATATTGTGATTTATATACTAATCTTATGAAGTGTCTAACTTGACACGTTTGGTAACTGGAATGTTTGTGCATTTTCCAAATAGATTCCGGAACTATCTTCTAAAGCTTAATACCCAAACCGTCTCTCGACTTGGTGCTTTCTAGCATTTTATTTTTTTAATTCGCACCAAAATATTCTTCAATCCTGTTCAAAATAATCAGATCTGCGGTAATCATTTCTAGCATAACTTGCATTATGTGGTTTTGTTCTAATAGTTTTTTTTTCAATTCCAGTACTGAATAAATACCCTCTGGGATTAAATTCGAGCCATATTTTCGAGAAGTGCTTCACTCGTAATTTTCATATTTTATCTGATTCGCTAAAACCAAATTCATGAGTAAAAAATTTATTACTTTACGAACTTGCTGTTGTAAAAGGTATACTACCAATTCTTTTTTCCAAATCAATAGACCCTTCAACGAAGCTAGAGTATCCAATACAGGAGGCTACTCTACATGGTTTGAGATGCAACTATGGGCTGGCAAAAAATTCATTCCGACTATACTCGAAAAAAAACAAAAAAAAATATATATATACTTGCTTTTAAAAGTCTCATTACATCAAAAACTGGTTCGCGATTTTTATTTGTTACTAACTAGATAGATTAAATTTTTTAGGGTTTTTTTGAAATATCAAATAAGAACCTATGTTTATAAATTTAGTGATTTAAAAAGATCCAATTCCATCAATCCGCCATTATAGGACTGGATGAAATCCACGCGTTAGGGTAAATCCACGCTTTTTATTATGCAAAAAAAGCGGATTTTCCCTCATGTGATCTACTAAACAGATTTTACTAATTCACAGCGCGTCATCGAATTATTATTATATTAGAAAAACCTAAATAAATAAATACGTAGTGTGATCTATTAATATAATATTAGAAACTAATTACAGTATGGTACTACGCCGGTGTACTTGTTAATCATATTGATATGTAATTCAGTAGTAAAACTTTAGAAAACTTGCTAGTATAAACACCAACGTTTATGATATATATTTTTTAAGCTTATATGCAGGCAAAACAAAGGCCATAGGAAGTCAAAAATATTATGTAATTTTATTATATTCTTTCAGATAACTTTATATGTGGTTTTTTTTTTTTTTTAAAATAAGATCTTTCAAACTTCAATATATTATATCTGTTATTCTCTTATCTAATAAGAATCACATCTTCCATTCCATTTTTGAAGAATTGTTACATTTTATAGTTTAGGACCTGTCCTATGTGATTTCGCTTCCCACAACGATCTCATTTTATCAACTATTTTATCGTCAACGAATAAATCTATGGTCATGTCTTTGGCACCTGGTCTAGTAGAATAATGGTCAAATTCGGTTTGACCATGCTCGCGCAAAATTACTTCATCGATTACGAAATTACCGCTTTTAATTACGTAGGAAAAAAAAATTTACATTAGACTTTCCCTTAAAGGATGGTCAATGATCTAAGTCGTAGCATCTTTTTGATATGACCTTTGTCATGTAATATGACTCTTTTAGCTATAGGTCATATTGATCGTATTAAATTCTAGTAAAAAAATTTTTTACTATAATTTTAAGTCATATCGATATTCATTATAACTGAATGAATATAGGTCAATTTAAGATCATTTGCCAACACTGTGTATATTCGGGTCTAGTAGGCAATCCCGACATCCAAAATCTCGACAGGTCATAATACTGACATCACGCAATGTGACAAAAATTTAAGTCTGACAATGATTGTTAATGTGATTACTAATCTTTAAATATTAATTGTCATGTCGCGTGATGTCAGTATTATGGCCTGTCGAGATTTTGGATATCAGGATTTCCTACTAGACCCTGTATATTCATATACATACCTGAATTCTTTTGAATTTTTGGTAAGAATTCTATGTGCAGCATCAGCCATTATTTCTGGGGTTCTTGAATTACCTCCAGAGCCTGAACCTATTTGTTTAGTTGAATCTATCGGTTTAATAACGAGCGCACATTCGTTTTATACATAATAATACGGCAATTTAGTTGAATTTTCACCTATAACTTGAAGAGCAGCTGTCTCTATTAGTGTTAGTGGCCAAAGTGCTATAGCAAGAAAGCAGTGTGTTAGCTTGATACTTTTTATTCCGTTTGTGAATAATGAACATCTAACATTAATATGTAGGGTGAATACCATTTGCAGCAATTCCCTGATCTCGAAATTCAGCAGCCCAACCCTATTAATATTTTGTTATTATGTAAGGGAGAAAGCTTAACAACGATCATTAAGGATATAAATAATATAAATTATATCAGATATTGAAATACCAAAACGCAAAGTGACATGTTATATTTCGCTATTGAATAAGCAACATGGTTTTTAAACCAATCCTCTTTGATCAAAGGCGGTGGACTAAGATTCAAAATGTGTGGATTTCTATTTTTTCGTCCACTTTCAATAAGATGTGGAATTGCATGCTGCCGTTAAAAGAAGTTCAATGGTTAATATTAAAGCTGTTCAGGTTGGATCAGATAAGATTTTTAATAACGGTATCACATGCTTCTACTATACCTTTGTCACTAACCAGGTTCCACGCATATTAATTTCGGACATAAGATTAAATTTTTTAAGACTGGTATCTTGAGTATCAGTAAGAGATATTGCAGATGCTACGACCGTAAAATAATAAACGTGTAAGTTGTCGATAAAATTATTCGAAAAGAATAATAAATATGTACCATTGTTAACGACGATGTCAATCCCCCCAAAAGTGTCTACAGTTTTTTGAATGGCTGCTTTAATCGCATCTTCATTACGAATATCACATACCAGGGGAAGAGCTACATAATAGATTAAAAATGAAACTATTTCCTTCTTTATTATTACAAATTTTCTCAAAAAAGATTGCATACCCTTTCCACCCGCACGTCTAATCTCTTCTGCTGCTGTATGGATAGTTCCAGGAAGCTATAAGAAGTGAAAATATCAACAATCACGGGATAATGTTTTAAAGATTTCAATGAGCAAACATTTTGAGTTTAATTACTTTTGGATGTGGAGTATCTGTCTTGGCGGCTACAGCAATGCACCTGAAACAGTTATAAAGATAGGTTCGATACAATCGTGGTGTAATGCAAAGAGTTGATATAATTAAACTTACCCTCCGTCTTTTGCTGCTCTCAAAGCTATGGCAAGACCAATCCCACTTTACAAACATATTATCATGGATATCATTTTTATTTAGATCAGAAACGTAAATAAATATGTTGAGCAAGTAAAGCAAGTAAGCTTACCGAGAAGCACCAGTGATAAATAAAATTTTGTCTTTAAGAGACATAGTAAATTAAGTTTCGAACAAATGCAGAAATGATGATCTGCTATCATTTACATACATATTTATCGATATAAACGTGATATACTACGTATACATTCCTTTATTTATATAATACTTTGCCAATCCTAAATGAAATGTTACTTTACATATGCAAATATAAATAAAAAATATATATTATATATATATATATACTGTATATTGTAATATAAAATAATCTTGGATATCAAAAAAGTCAATAATTCCAATACATATTATGAAGAGCAGATTGTGAATTAGCCAATAATTGTATTGGAATATCGTCATTATCACTTAACGATTCGCTTTTTCTTTTCCATTCATTTGCCTTTTGAATATTCCAAGTACCATCAGATCTTCTCTTTCCAACTTTAATAGTTTTCATCTCGCGATCGCGTTGTCTATCATCTTCGTCAAAATCACTATCATCCTCGGATTCTGGATCATTTAACAGCCATCCAATAGTCCACTCGAACAACGCCGTAATCACTGAGGCTAAAATGAATCAAGTTGTTAGAGAATGTTATTTATATTAAAATAACATTTGAAACCTTTGAAACCTCCTAAAAAATTACCTTTTGGCGCCCATGGCGGCATTGGCGAAATATTGCCACTGCTTCCGAAAGAAGGAATACATCCACGTGATTTTTTCCTGCCCTTCTCTTTATCATATTGTTCATTGATCGAAATGCTCCTTTCTTGAAATTTTGAAAGCACATCATTTTCATCATTCTCATCTTTATTATTCTCATTTTCGTAATTCTCATTTTCATCATACTCATTTTCATTATTCCAATTTTCATCATTCTCATTTTCATTATTCTCATTTTTATTGCTCCCATTTTCATTATTCTCGCTTATATGCTTCAATCTCATGGAGTTTCTTATGGAGTTTCTCATAGAGTTTCTCATAGAGTTTCTCATAGAGTTTCTCGTGGTATTCTTCCTTTTACTGTTTTCGGACATTGCCAAGAATATATCAGATATATATGCATTCCACATTAGTTCTGTCCGTCTGAGACGATCTTTATTCTTATGGTCACTCTCTATTAAAATTGATATCAACTCCTTAGGTTTTTGTATTCCTAACTTATCTTCTAATATTGAAAAACATCTTGTTAGCCTTTGCTTTATTATTTCTTCGTTATAATCAGGTGCATCATCTTTGATGTTATCATCAGGTGCACCATCTTTGATTAACTCATCAAAATCTTCAATCCATTCACTGTTTTTATGATGTATTAATGTGGCCAGCAAAACACCATCATTCAATCCAGTAAAACCTTCAACAGGGTATGAAGTAGTAGGTAGAACTGATGCATAATCAATAAGTTGCATATTAATCCAAAACAATAAACCAGACGAAGAACTCGTAGGAGTCGAGCTTAATCGAAGAGTTTTAAATCTTCTTGGTGGAGGAAGAGTTTTTTTATTAAGTGAACCTCTCAAAAAGTTATCCGGGGGAAGTGATAAACGTTTATCGGCGTTTGCTTTTTGTTGTTCAGGTGTTAAACGCGAAGAAAACACGCGTTTTATGGGTGTATCTGCGGGAGATTTCCCTTTGTCGTTAACTTGTTGAATGACTGTAGGCGACGATTGGGATACAATTGACGAATCTTTTTGATCAGTTTGAATATCTGATCGAATCTGTTGATCTTCGGAGGAAACTTGTTTATCGTGGAGTGATTCATATGATTCCTGTTTATCATGGAGAGATTCGTATGATTCTTTCTTATCATGGTCAGATGGTTCTTGCTCGTGCGAATTATTAATGGATTCCGGTTCATTATAATATTCCTCAGATTCTAAAGGTGAATCAAGTTGATTAAATCCTGAATAATTACTCTGAATATTTGCTAAGATATTTGATGTGGTTTTAGTTGAAGGTCCAATTGATTGTTCAACAAGATTATCTAACCAAGTATCAGGACCTTCATTTTTGACATTTTCTTTAGATAAATTGGTCTCAGCTTCTGCCAGTTGTTCTTCTGTCATGTCAAATGTACCGATCATTTGGTGAAATTTTGAAATCATCAACCAAATTAAACCAAGAGTCAATTTAACATTTCCATCAACTATATCTACAGGACCGATAGCCTGTAAAGCAGCTAAACCTGAATCGTCCAACTTATTTTGTAGAAATTGTATAACTTTGCTAACATTAGCCACATAATGATGTCTTGTTCTACCACGTTCAGGCTTTGGCAAGTCGGGATCATTCTCGTACAGAACATGAAGCAATTGAATGAATCTTTTACCGTCTCTAAAATCTTTGTCGATTGCATTAATTTCGGGGATCTTTTCGGCTGTTTCAGCATCAACATGAATTGTACGTAATTGAATATTAACCCATTTTGTAAATGTTGATATTTGTTGTTCAGTATATTTATCAGGAGAGGAATAAAATTTTTCCTTAACGTTGATAACTTTAGTAGTTGTATCCCATTGACCAACAAGAGAATTTCGACGACGAGGCTTATTTGGTGGTGGCATATTACAATGTATCGAAATTAATCAAACGACCAACTTAATGACCGAAATGCATTAACGTTAAGTTGATTGAATGTTAAAGAATAAATAACGCCTTTTATTTAGACTACCCCTTACCGATTAATCCGATTAATCGCGTGAAGTGGATACAACATTTAGGTCACACTCCAGTCCGACGATTTACCAAATAAGGGGGTCGTCTAAAGCCGTGTCCAGTCACGTGTTTTTTGTTTTTAATTAAATTTAGGGTAAGGGTTAGTTTGGAGTTAGGGTCAGGGCATGTCTTATAGTAAAATTGTCTTCCCGACATTTTTTATTAATGCACCAAGAT